CTACTGAGGAGTGTGTACCTGCCGCGAGAGAAGCACCACATTCCTTGCCTCCACAACCCTCCTTCTCCCACAGATCTCGTGTATCTAGACAAAATTGTCTCCCCTAGCAGCCGGCTCATCCATGCCCTCGCTGTTATGTCTCACATGTGGGATACAACCCTGCCAACAACAAGTCTCCTGCACCGCCTGGAGGGAAGGGGGAGTATTGTAGTGGATACCTCCCCTACAACTGCCATTTGTCGCTGACTAGCCGACCCTCTTTGAATTCCCCACCTTACGCCTCGTGGTCTAAGGTCGGTAACCAGCGCCGCCTACCATAGTGAAGGTCAACTATCAACCCACGCCTAACCCCGCTAAATAAGACCTCATTCCACCGTGACCTCCCCCCTTCTTCTAGCTACAGCCGCAGCAAGCAACACCTCCTCTGAGCACCCTCACCAACCAGCTCTCTCTACTCCACGCTTGTACCCATGCTGCCACTCCCCAGCACCAAGCTGCATTGTACATCCAATACAATATGTATACAGAGAGCACATTGTGAGTTTCCTTTCTCCAACCCATCCTGAGTGTGAACCAATATCTCAAAACCCCACAATAGAATCCCTTGAAAGAATTCAGAGGAGAATGACAAGACTAATCCTGGGCATTAGGAACCTTGAGCACAGAGACATGTTAAAGCATCTTAATCTGCACTCCCTCAAGAGATGTAGAGTGAGGGGCGATATGATAGAGGTGCATAAATGGAAGTCAGCTAAACAGAGGTGATATAACAAGTTACCAAACGTCATCATTAACTCTAATACGCTGGATGGCTTCAAACATAGGCTCATTAGCTTGTTTGTGGTTCGTGAGCTCAAAGTGAAATTTTTTGTGCCATTTTTTCCTAGTATGAAAATTGTGTCATTTTTTCCAAATACCACCCTCCACACTTAGAAGTATGGAAATCCGCGGTATTCTTCTGGTACACATAACAGGTACCTCGCTCACACTCTACTCTCGCTTGGTAGATGGGATACTTCCCAGGTAATCATACCAGTGCTGGGGCCGGATACTCAAAACACCTCATAAGTTACGTCTTTTAGCATGATACAGTACCATAAATTTAGCATACTCAAAATTTAATTGCAGTTCCGTAAGCCTTTCGTAAGTTTTCATAACTCTAGATGTTTACCCTGTAAATTAAGTTCTCTTGTCGGAAGGTAGATGTCAGTGCAGGAGCTAGTTGGACAATCAGCGCTCAGTTAACAAAATCATCAACCAATCACAAGAGAAGGAGAAATCAGCTGAAAGCAACGCATATAATATTTTGTAAACATGGAAGGACCACCAGCCAAGAAGAGACGGCCTAATTTCAGTGAGGCTGAAGCATACGCTATTCTGGGCAAATTAAAATAAATTCGTTATTGATAGCATAGCCTTGCTGAACCTAAATGACAAATCACTTCTCTTAAATTACTCATTTAGCCTAGACCCTGGTGTTTTCCTTTCAATGTTGGGGACATTTGGTCTGAATTGTCTTCAAGTTCATACAAAATACAACAATTTAAAACCTGAAAATATATCAGATTAGCCGTAAATTTTCTTAAAATAATACTCTACCTATGATAATGTTCAAGGAAAGTCTGGAACTAGGTCTAAGGTAGCTGCTAGACAAAGTGTCTCACTGACGGCCTGACGCTCACCAAAAAACCATGTACACATTCTCTAACCTAACCTAACATACCATAACATAACATAACCAAACCAAACCTATCTAACCTATAACCTATTGGTATAATTTCTTATTTAAATAATCCCCATGTTCTAACTAAATTAAGTAGGCCCCACATTTAAACATTTATTTGTCTAAGACTGAAAAAGCAGTTATGTAGGCCCCTATTAATCAAGTTAATTGCAATCCATATTTTATGCCTAGTATCATTTAATTTTGGCTAGCCTATGGAAATTTATAGCCTTTCATGTTATCATAAGCCATATACATAAGAAAATAGGCTAAGGCTATTGGTTGAATATTGGAAAAACAAGGCGAAGTCTTGGCAGGAAAGTTCACTTGACCTCATATTTGGCTTTCATTACTGAGGGATATTTACGGCTATACAACATTAATAAGTTCTATCTGCAAGTTTACTCAGTCATAAAACATATTTTTACTAAGTGTGAACAATACAAACCTTCTGTTTTGGTAAAAAATACTTTATAATTTGTAAGAAGACAAAAGATGCGTCTCTTCCAAACTGCAGCAAATACAAACACTCAAGCCGCTTATTATGGCAACAAAAAAGTTACAAAAAAGACAAAGTGAAATATTATATTTCAGTATGTTGATGTAAAAAACATTTTCTTCATTATTCTATGATAAAACAAGTCTAACAAGCATTATTACAACATATTTTATTATTATTTTTTATACAATCGGGAATTAGTCACTACTACATCCGGGTTGAGAGCGTTACACAACCTCAGGAGCTGGTGTAAGTTACGCGCTTTAACTTACGGAGTTCGATGTCAAATATTTGTTTTGAGTATACCATCAGTGTTTTGAGTATGCCAATCTGAGACTGTAAGTCCAGTTACGGGGTGCACAACGACATACAGTCCCATAAATGTTTTTGAGTATCCGGCCCCAGACGCAGGTAGATTTCCAACAGGTCACAGAAACACACTTGTACTTTAGTTTCCTTTAATAAACACTAATTCTTCACAACACTGTTAACAGGGTAATGTCTTCACAGCTTGACTCTACACTTCGAATATACTGCATATAGTCAGCACACTACCAGTGTATAATTCCTCAGTTTTCTCACTTTATATTAATCACAATAATTCCACAATATTTGCACAACAATTGTCTTCAGTTGATCTGCTAGGCTTATTCTTTACACTATGAATGGGAGTGATCGATTAACTCCTAGGCAGCCTGTGGCAGCTTATTATGCCTCGTCATAAGCTTCTTGAACATCCTAGAGACCTAGAATAACTCAGAGACGCCTGGGAGGTTCAAGAACGTGCTACTCTGATCGAGGCTTACAATAATAAGTAAATAAAAAAAAAATTATGCAATACATTCTAGAATATTTTTGCATAATTAATTCATCATCATCAATATACAGTACTGTACATACAAAAAAAAAATCACTAAATTTGCCAATATGATTGTTGCTTGGGATAGAAAATACAGTATTCAAAACACCTAGTTTACAAAATGATAATACTAAATTATGCCTTGGCATAACAGTAAATTATATTTTATGTTTCTTTGATACAATATTTCAATTTTAAATGGACCAAAAATAAATCTTCAAAAGCTGCTTAGCAACCCAAGATGCACAATATTCTCATCAGCTCCCTGATATTGAGTAATTTAAATACATGCCAGTATAATCACACTAATTTTTAATGCTTATATATTGAGACAAACCAAGCATCGTATATTTGTTTAATAATGTGACCGACAGTCAAAATGAGAAAACAGTGACATGCACAGAAATACAAGCTCCTCAAGTTAAATATTCAAGTCCACAGAAGTTCTCAGAATATATTATTGGTTGTTTAACTTAGATATTTATTTTTCAATTTACAGAAAGCTAAACTAGGGGGAAGATTAATTTATGGTCTGATTGTATATAAAGGTATATGATACAGTATAAAGTGAAATTGCCAGAATGAAATCCAGACTGTCTTCATACTTGAATTTATCAGGGGGAAGGAGGTGCTGCCCACTGCTTTTATTATACATTCTAAGGGTAAAAAGTTGGGTTCTCAGTATACTTGTACAGTCGGCCCTTAACATACACGGGGGTTAGGTAACAGAGATACCCGTGAATGTTAAAAATCTGTGTACTTTTGCTGTTGCCCCCCCAAAAAAACCCCTGGCCCCCATGTCCTTATTTACCGTATATACCTGTGTGTAGTTTGAGTTTTTAAGACCAAATTATTTGGCAAAAAATTGGGGGTCGACCTCTAAACGGGTAATAGTTTCGTTAGGTTGAAAAATATTTACCAGTAACTACCAGTAAACAATGGAAACGACGCACCAATGCACCACCAGCTGTGAGTGTCGGTGCAGTTGCCAGGGCAGATCTCTTGCGTCATCATAGCAAGCCCAAAGTAGCCAAATGCATGGTATGGTATGCACAGGACGATGTAAAACATAAAGTATTCATTTTTTAAAGTTTATTTATAGATACTGTACATAAATTTTTTTTCATTACATTTGAAACATCAATCTTTGTTAATTAAATTTGAAACAAAAGAAAACTATGATACCGTATTTTCATTAAAATATTACATCACAAGTATATTTCCCCTTAACTGTGACTGAATGAATATATTCTCAGAAATAAATATGGAAATGTAATATTTTGGCTGAAATGACGTACATATTACAGCGGAAAGTGGGATAAAATCATGACGAAAACAATGACTTTCACTTTCTTTCGTTGTTCAAAAGATTTTACCATAATCGCTTTTCGAATGGTTTTCAGTTAAAAAACTGTTGTACTGTGTACTGTATTACAATAATATTCTATCCTATCATTAGCCTCATAATCCCACAACTGAAAACCATTCGAAAAGCGATTACGGTAACATCTTTTGAACGAAAGAAAGCGAAAGTCATTGCTTTCGTCACAATTATATCCCACTTTCCACTGTAATAAGTACGTCATTTCAGCAAAAATATTACATTTCCATATTCTCAGAAATAAATAGTAGTTTTAGTGAAACGTAATGTACAGAATTTAATATAAAAATGCAAAAAGAGCTATAAAAACAATTAATACTGTACACCCGTAATGTACTGGCTGGCATCTCCACTCGTGCCCGTCCCTGCTCCCGCCTCCAGCGTCACCACTCCTACCCGCTCTATCCCTCCGCCTCTACATCGTCACTACTGCCGACAACAAACACAAATGTTTTGTGAATAACTGCACCTCCACTTCCTATGTACAGTACTGAACTGCACTGTGCTGTGCATTTTTACAAACAATAAACATAGCGTGTGTGTAGAGACTTAGCTTTCTCCCGGATAAGGATAGAGTCCACTGCTACACCTTTCCGGTGCTGGTCCTCTATCCACAGAAACAAGGCATTCTCCATCTTCACCATTGCCTTTTCCCTCACTTGGCTGACATGCTTAGCACTGTGTGGAATACTGGCACTTACAGCACCATAGATATCTTTTTCCCTTTTCTTGATGGTACATACCGTGCTTTCATTCACGTTGTACAGTCGCCCCACAGCAGTGAACAACATTCCCTCCTTTAACTTATTCAACAACTCCACCTTCTCCTGCAGAGTCATCAATTTCTTCTGGCGCTTAGGGGTGGCTCCAGCTGGTGTCTTTGATGCTCTTTTAGGGGCCATGGTAAATGTGGGTAGCAAGGGAAGCAACTACAATTCTGATGTTAACACAAGCGTGGTTACAGCGAGACTGACTGAGTGACGGAGCGCGGAGTGGGGTGACGACGCGCTATGCGTGTGTGAGGTTGCGGGAGCGGGCGGTGTCCCGTGTTCGGTGCCGTGCGCGAGTTGAATGGCGCGTGATTTGAATGTACAGTCGACCCTCGTTAAAACGGACTAATAGGGGGGAAGGGTGTCCGTTTTAGCCGATTGTCCGAATTAACCGATTTAGGGGTTAATATTGCATTATACAGCTATGTGTATGTTTATTTGAGTGCCCCGTCATAGGAGTCCGTTTCTCTCACTTCAGCATTCCTGAGTCGTCTGTTTTCTCTTAATCTTAGAGTGCACCAGAGACTGTTATATCTCAGTAGTGACACAGAATTTGATATTGCAACTGGGGTTGCAATTGTTGAGGCAACTTAGGTATGTCTGATTACAGTTGGAATATTCAAGATCCATTGTGAGTGATGTTTAAAGCTTCAACTGTCTTTATGGTTGGTAAAACTTGTCAAGTCTGTCAGTCTGAATGGCATGTGTGAGGCCTTGTGTTTGTACAACCGCTAAATATATAAATATATAATGTTATGATAATTATCAGAAACACATAGGCATAACGAGGTTTATTACAAAGTGATGAAAAGGATACTGTACAGTGGCTAGTCCACAAAACATGTAGCCATGTCTCTTTATTTGAGTGCCCCGTCATAGGAGTCCGTTTTCTCTCACTTCAGGACGCCTGAGTCGTCTGTTTTCTCTTAATCTTAGAGTGCACCAGGGACTTTGTTATTTCTTAGTAGTGACACAGAATTTGAAATTGCAACTGGGACAATCCCAGAACCAGAAATTTGATATGGACAGTTCAGATTTCGTCCGATTTATCCGAAATCCGGATTAAAGGGGTCCGAATTAACGAGGGTCGGCTGTACTTCAATGTACAGAATATTCCTCCTCCGGGGCAATCCGCGAATTTGCAAATCCGTGTATGCTAAACCCGCGTATGTTAAGGGCCGACTGTATATCGTATATTTATTAATATACACACATAGAAGCTTGCATTACATACACTATGTTATTAAGGCTTCAGAATTCTTCTTCAACAAAATCAAATTCCTCCTTAAGATTCTCTAGTTTTATAGATGATGGAGGAACCATTTCCAATTTAAGTGAATCTTCTGATATACCTAAGATAGAAGGTTGACTATCAACAGGTTCCTCTTTCACTCCTTCCCTTGACCAGTCTATGAAATGTGTTGATCCGCTCACTGCAAGTTTACACACAGCCTTTGTCTTACACTGGTAAGAGAGGCTATACTCATCTTTACTATGACAGGAAGTGAACAGTTCCTGACAATTATTGTGGCTCAGCTCTGGACTGTTCAGGTCATTACCAGGTTGGTTTTTGGCTGGGTGGCTCCCAACAGCACCAAGGTGGTGGTCTCTCTGAGTGAGTGTTGTCCCGCTCCCTGACTTCTCACCACATTTTTTCAACCTTTGTTTATTGTCACATTTTTTGTGGCATTTAAGAGGTTTAACCTTTGCATGATCTTTACTGTAAGAAGTCAGATGAGTTCTACTGTGCATTGTGAGACTTGCTTTACTGGGAAAACATTTTTGACAATCACAACAAAGAAATTTTTCTTTGTGAACTCTCATGTGGTTTACCATTTGGCTCTTCTGTGTGAAGGATTGATTACACTTTGTACATTGATATGGATTCTCGCCTGTGTGAATGATCATATGTTGTATTAATTTCGATTTTTGAGTATATGAGCAATTACACTCTAAACACTGGAACTTCTCTCCTGTGTGAATCCTCATATGTTGCATTAAAACAGATTTCTGAGTAAATGCTCGATTACATTCTGAACACTGGAACTTCTCTCCTGTGTGAATCCTCATATGTCGTACTAAATCAGGTTTCTGAGTAAATGAACTATTACATTCTGAACACTGGAACTTCTCTCCTGTGTGAATCCTCATATGTTGTACTAAATCAAATTTCTTACTATATGAACAATTACATTCCAAACACTGGAACTTCTCTCCTGTGTGAATCCTCATATGTCGTACTAAGTCAGATTTTCGAGTAAAGGAACTATTACATTCTGAACACTGGAACTTCTCTCCTGTGTGAACCCTTATATGTCGTACTAAATCAGATTTTCGAGTAAATGAACTAATACAATCTGAACACTGGAACTTCTCTCCTGTATGAACCCTCATATGTTGTATTAAACTCACTTTCTGAATAAAAGAACTGTTACATTCTGAACACTGGAACTTCTCTCCAGTGTGAACCCTCATATGTTGCACTAAACTCACTTTCTGAATAAAAGAACTGTTACATTCAGAACATTGGAACTTCTCTCCTGTGTGAGTTCTCATATGTTGTACTAACCTACCTTTCCTTTTAAAAGAACGATTACATTCAGAACAATGAAAAAGCTTCTCATCAGTGTTAAAAGGTGTTTCTGATGGGTGATTTCTCACATGCTTTCCAAGACAGTCTCTTTTAAAATCTTCCTGACACTGTAAACCCTGAAGGGGGTCTTCTGTGTTACCTTCCATATTCATTGTTTCTTTTACCAAAACATCTTGGACTTGTGGTCTCTCACGTGGCCCTCTTAGTGTACTTTTGAAATACTTGGCCTCACTGAACCCCTTAATTAAGTTCTTAAAATACTTTCCCTGATGAAAAAGCTTCCTATGATAACTTATACACTACCCAATGTTGAACATTCATCTACAACACACACACATGAATATGAAAACCAACCGGCTAACCTATGAGTGAGTGGAATATGGCCATAAACAGAGTGGAATCTTGTAATTTTTGCTCCTTTCATCAAATCATTAAACAAATGTTTTAAATTAAAATGTTCATCTGAGTTAACTGGGAATGAAGTAAGACTGACAGATAAATGGATAAACAAATAAATAAGACAGTTGCACAAACTGTGAGTAAAGTATTTTTTGGTTACTTGTTTTTTACAGTTGTATCTCATGACATCACTAAAGTGTTAATTCACCTTTACTTCACTACCATAAAATATTTATTGAGAATATCTAATGGTTCTGGCAATGGGATGAACCAAATAACACAACACTTCATTGTCCTGGATGCCGATGGTGATATTCGGTAATAGTGACATGAAGGACTGTAGAAAAGGTGACTTGATACTTTCACTCTTGTGCTGACTGCTGGACCTGACACGTTGCCTGAGGTTGTCAGCAGAGTTCAGAAGGTGACAACTGCACCAGCTCAGAGAAATATTCTCTACAAAACCTGAAAGTGGGAAAAATTATAAACATAAGATATAAGACCTGACTCACAAAATGAATCCTCTACCTTTCCTTTGTCTTGATCACTTGAACCCCTACTCATAAACTATCTGTTCAGTCTTGTAATATTGCATTTACCTTCTCTGTTCTCTACAAGGAAGAATAATTAGGATGTTAGCAAGACACTCAGTGAGTGAGGGCAGAGTTTTCGATCCAGCCGTAATAGAAATAAAACAACTCTCAGTCTTCTCCACTACTGATAAATTCATAGTTCAATGGCAGCATCTTATTCAGCTGCACTGGTAAACACAACTGTGAGTGCTAGATCCCAAATTTGGGATGTTTTTAAGCCTACTGTATTTCATTATCTGAAGGATATACAGCTGCTCCCCGACTTACAAAGGGGTTAGGGACCCAAATCCAGGTCATAGGTCGAAAATGCTTAAATAATACAGTAGTACCCCGATTAGATTAGATTTACGCGGTCAATTGAACCCACAGGGTACCGCGGAAAGTGAAAACCAAAGTGAAAACCGTGTAAAGTGAACAACAGAACATATGGGATTAATTCCAATAGAGACTGGCCAGACCCCCAAACTCCACTTTTTCTGACACAATACCTATGTTGTAGTAAAAATAACATCTAAATTTTATGATGGTATGCTCACACAATTAATATTTAAGAGATATACAGTCGCCAGGTTAATGTTCATTCAAATAATGGACTCAAATCCCTCCCCCCCCCCCTCTTCCCAGCTCACTAGCTCCTACCTCTCTGATTAATGTTTGGGTGAAAACTCTAGATTTTAACATTTAGTAATAAATAATACCTCAGACTAAAGTTAGGATAATATAATTGACATTTCTGGATTCCTTGCAGGTCAGGGAATATTTTGAATGTAAACTTCATATATTTTGCACAAAAGATAAAATATTTGCCTTGTGTAAACCAAATTATTACATTAGATCTAAAACTTGTATGTCTAATGCAAAATCCATGATGTTTATATTCAAAATGATCATCATATTGTAAGAATTCCAGCAATGTAAATTATATTCTGGTAGAGTAATTTATATGAATTTTATGAGCTAAAACAAATATCTTCAGTTAATAAACAAAAAAAATATTCTTCACGACACTATCTGTCAATCAAAGGACCCCACCTTGCCTCCCCCCCTCCTTACACTCACGCCAGCTGGGTCTGTGGTCCTAACCCTCCCCCCCACCTTCCCTCCCTACCAGATAAATGTGTGGGTGAAAGCTCTAGATTTTAAGGTTTAGTAATAAATAATACCTCAGACTAAAGTTAGGATAATATAATTGACATTTCTGGATTTCTTGCAGGTCAGGGAATATTTTGAATGTAAACTTCATATATTTTGCACAGAAGATAAAATATTTGCTTTGTGTAAACCAAATTATTGCTTTAGATCTAAAATTTGTATGTCTAATGCAAAATCCATGAAGTTTATATTCAAAATGATCATCATATTGTAAGAATTCCAGCAATGTAAATTATATTCTGACCGGGTAATTTGTATGAATTTTATGAGCTAAAACATATATCTTCATTAAATAAACAAAGAAATATTTGAAAATGCACTCCGAAATCCATGCCGGAAAACTGAAGGTTCCGGTTTATCGGTTGCCGGATTTTTGATAGGCCACCTGTTTTGTAATTATAAAGATCTGGCACAAAAAGTACGACACATAAGAGTGAACTTCAAAGAGTTAAAGCAAAAGAAAAATGCAATATTATTAATAGGTTTAAAGAACTCAAAACTAAAGACCCAAAGTGTATTGGCAAACTCTACAGGGTGTTAAAAAAAAACAGGATATTCTGGTAATGACAAACAAATTCTTGACTCATTTCAAAAGGTTGGCTGAGGAAGGAGATTATGCAGATGACTCCAGGTTGGATATTGTCACAGATGTGAGTGTGGATAATATATTAAATGATAACATTACAGAAGATAAAATAATGAAATGCATAGGCAATCATAAAAACAATAAATCCCCGGGGAATGACAAAATAATTAATGAATATATAAAGAATATTAAACATCTGTTATGTCCACTATACATAAAGCTATTTAACTATGTGTTTGATACTGGAGAGTTACCAGAGGAGTGGCTTATAAGTCTCATAGTTCCCATATATAAAAATAAAGGTGATGTAAGGGAAGTAAATAATCATAGAGGTTAACTCTTGTGTAGGAAAGTTTTTTACATCCTTGTTAAATGACAGATAACACAATTCTGTGAGACTAATAATCTTAATAAAGAATCACAGGCCAGTTTTCAGCGAGGACATGCTACTACTATAGTGATATCTCCGTTAACTGGAACAATTGGTGCAGACCACTTCTGGGAATGAGAGATTTCTGGGTAATGAAACGACTCTCTCAGAGCCCGAAAGACTCCCCCATCCCCCAAAATTTCCGGGTAACGTAAAAAATTTTCTCGAAACTTCCAGAAATTGCCCATTACATAATCTCTCCAACCCGGAAAAATTTCCCCCATCCCTGGAATTTTTCGGGTCACTGGTCACTGTTTCTCCGACTGCAGGAGTAGACCTTGCTGGTAGCGATGAAGAACTGGTGTAGAAACTTGTCCTTGCTGCACTGCGTAGTGCGCCAAGTACTGCTTGAAGTAGGTGCACTTGTTGCCAGATCGCTTCACACACTCCTTCAGTTCCCTCCACAGATGGTGTTTGTCAGCTTTCTAACTACACACAAGTAACCTCAGTTGGCAATACACTGTGTTGGTGGAGAAATTTCCATGCTTCTCTGTCCTTACCGCAATATTCTTTGTGAAATCTGGAGATGGCTTCGAAATATTTAACATCACAGCCATTGGAAATGAATTCAAATTCAAGCAGGTGGTGGCAGGGGCCTATACCAAGCTGTGATTGGTTGAACGAAAATCATACCCACCAATCAACGTCCAAAGAACAACTGCGCATGTGTCAGACTCAAGCACATGTGGAATACAGCATACGGTACTAACCAACAAACGAACACACAGGAGCTCTCTGGGACAGTGTTAACATAAACGAGATCTTAGAAATAATACAACACTTTTCCAACAATTTACTACGATTTTCTCTGAAATTAATAATGAGTGGAAGAAATGCTATATAAGAAAAGTGTCTTAGAGTTGTCTAAACTACTGCTTACAAAACTTAAAATCCTAAAAATCGCTGGATGACTGAAACAATAATACTGTAATACCAGGTTAGGTTAGGTTGGTTAGGATTTTGTTTTTCCAATGGTTTCTTATGTGTTTTGAACACTTTTTACCTTGATTTTAGTTGCAAATTTCTAGATTCTCAGATGGAAGTGGGAGCTTATCTCAGTAACTATTGATTTGCACCAGAAATGAAGTTCAAATTCGTTCATAACACATCAAAAACCATCGGAAACCATAGGGTAAATTTTTACAAGTTGCCCATAATCTAACAAATTAATGGTATTTTCTCGAAAACAAATCTTTGTGAAAGAAACGTTCATAAGATTTTCATTAGAAATGACGAGCTATAGAGTAGGCTCGGGATACAGTATATCGCAAGATATGGTCCAATGATGTTCGCTATACTGTATACTAAATCGCGATATATAATTATATGTAATCAATGGGAAAAATAGGGATAGATTTTGGAGGCTCAAAAAAGTGACTAAACGAGTTCATTTTCTTACTAACTACAGCACCAACGAACGCTAAACTCGGGAACAACAGGCTATTTCAATGTCAGTATCAATATCAAGGAACACCAGACTAAGCAGCTGACACACCATCCTGGTAACACCAGACTCGGCAGTAGACGCCACACTGCCACCCTCACTTGACAATCCCACACCTACAAAAACAAACACCAAAAATATTAGTTACACTATTAAATCATTTCCATTAAGCTTTCCATTTTCTTCACTTCACTTTTCACGTAACTAGCGACCCATTTACACTCGCCTTAGAAGTGGTAATATGCAGCAGAGTCGGCTGCTTACTTGTCACTCACTCAGAAAGACTGAGCGGGCGAGCGTGAATGCATGAGTGAGCAGCCATGGTGGCGCCTCTAGTGAGCAAATAACACATTTGTTTGCCATGGCGGTACATTTGAAATATTTCCTGCCCGAATTCCCTCGTGAAATAAAAAAAAATATCGTTATATACAGGAAAATGTCTATAATTTTGGTAGCCGCGATATAAAAAAATCGCTATATAAAGTCACTATATATCCTGACCCTACTGGACCCCAAAATATTGTAGGACATTATAGGCAACTTGTAAAAAAATTGCACCAAAACCAAAAACCCATTGGATAAACTTTGGTTTCATCTCAAAATCAGTTTCTGTGCTAACCTAACCTGACCTAACTGCCCTTGTTCAGGATATGTATATTACAGTACGTAACCCCCTGGCTGTTGGGGGTTCTGCCCTCAGAACCCCCAACAGAGCTCATATCGAAGCAACCAACCTAACCTAATCCATCGGAAAAACTTAAATTTTAACTTCGATTTCGTATAGTGGCAATAAGTGAAATTTTATCACCGAAAATGCATATTTACCAACGAATCTTTACCTAAGCACCTGGCAGCTTTGTCAGCTATCCTTGGTCAAGCTGCCTTACTGTTTAACATTGTGGTTTGCCTGCACTGTCCTTGGCGCACAAGAAACTGTATGCAGTCCATTGCAATAATCATATTTGCCAACTCAACATGATACTAATAGCTCTGCCGTCTTGTCCCGCCTTAATACTGTATAACCCATTTTGTACTGCTTCCCTCCTTTATCATATTTGCAGTATGTATATCAACACCACTGTAAAATACTTATGTATATACTTATGATATAAATGCAAAAAAATAAATAAAATAATTAACTAAGTGATAACCATGGAAACATTCCAATATGTTCAGTAATACAAGTACTTGTACTGTATTGCAGTAAACAGCAACCACAGAATTCTGGAAATTGACTACACTCAATAAAAATATTTTTTC